GTGGCTGGCGCCTTAGCCGGTTGAGCTATAGGCGCCGAGCCATGATGCCTGATTTGAAGATTTTTTTTCTTTCATTCTTTACCATCTCTATGCAAACTCTGTGTATGTGGTTTATTTACCTGTGGTTTCTCAGTTCCACACTTTTCTTTTCTTTTTTTTTTTTTTGTCTCAAGTTGTCGCCCTCGGTAAAGTGTCATAGCTTCAATAGCTCCCAGCAACCTCAAACTCTTGGTCTTAAGTGATTCTCTTGCTTCAGCCTCCCAGGTAGCTGGGACTACAGGTGTCCACCACAACGCTCTGCTATTTTTTTGTTGTTGTTGTTGCAGTTGTTGTTGTTTAGCTGGCCCAGGCTGGGTTCAAACCCACCAGCCTGGGTGTATGTGGCCAGTGCCCTAACCACTGAGCTACGGGTGCTGCCTAAACATCTAATTGTGTGTTAAAGATTGTAATGCAGGGTGGCGCCTGTGGCTCAGTGGGTAGGGCGCTGGCCCCATACATTGAGGGTGGCGGGTTCAAACCTGGCCAGGCCAAACAGCAACAAAAAAATAGCCAGGCGTTGTGGCAGGCACCTATAGTCCCAGCTATTTGAGAGGCTTGAGGCAGGAGAATAGCCTAAGCCCAGGATTTGGAGGTTGCTGTGAGCTGTGATGCCATGGGCCATGGCACTCTACCGAAGGCAATAAAGTGAGACTCTGTCTCTATTAAAAAAAAATAAAAAGATTGTAATGTACATGGCAGAGAATGAATGCCAAAGGCATTTAAAATTGTTCATTCTGTTAAAAAAAAAAAGGGCCAGGTGGTGAGTCATACTTGTTTATCCTAGGCACTCTGGGAGGCTGAAGCGAGAGGATCCCTTGAGCTCAGGAGTTTCAGACCAGCCTGAGCAAAAGTGAGATGCTGTCTCTACTAAAAATAGAAAAATGAGCCAGGCATTGTGGCTGACCCCTGTAGTCCCAGCTACTCAGGAGGTTGAGTCAAGAAAATCTCTTGAGCGGTGACTGTAGCTCAGTGGTTAGGGTGGTGGGGGCCATGTGCTCCGGGGCTGGTGGGTTGGAACCTGGCCCAGGTCTAGCCGGGCTTTGTGGTGGGCACCTGTAGTCCCAGCTACTCAGGAGGCTGAGGCAAGAGAATTGCTTAAGCCCAAGAGTTTGAGGTTGCTGTGAGCAGTGACGCCACCGCATTCTACAGAGGGTGTCAAAGTGAGACTGATTCAATAAAAAAAAAGAAAAAAGAAAATCTCTTGAGTCCAAGAATTTGAGGTTGCTTTGAGCTTTGATGCCAGGGCACACTACCCAGGGCAACAGAGTGAGACTATCTAAAAAAAAAAAGAAAGAAAGAAAGAAATTAGGACACAGATACACAGAAGAAGATCATGTGGAGACGAAGGGGGGAAATGGCCACCTACAAGCCCTGGAGAGAGGCCTCAGAATAAAACCAACCCTGCCAATACCTTGATCTTGGACTCCTAGCCTCCAGAGCAGTGAGAATAAACTTCTGTTGTCTAACCCACCCAGTGTCTTCTATTTCAGACACTTCACAGAAATGAAATCACATAATGTGTGGCTTCTCTCACTTATCGTAACATTTTCATTTCTTTCTTTCTTACTTCTTGAGCGCTCCAGACTAGAGTGCAGTGGAATCATCACAGCTCAAAGAAACCTCTAACTACTGGGATCAAGCGATCCTCTTGCCTCAATCCCATGAATAGCTGGGACTACAGGCATGTGCCCCAATGCCCAGCTAAT